TAGGAGTGATTTTTGTAGGCCTACAACAGTAAAAAAAAATGCTTAAATGACAACTATACCCTTAATTAATTTTATTTTATTTTTAGTTTCAAAAAATGCACGTGTAAAGTGTTTAATTAGTTGGCAGCCATTGAGTGGCTCACTAATACACGTGGCAGCGTTTGCATTTCACGCTCTTGGCTCCAAAAATCGCGTGTTTATTTATTAAAAGGTTGGATAGTTAAAGTGCTTGTTTGTGCACTATGAAAGTTGGAGGTCAAAATTAAAATTTGAAGCCAAGTTTAAGGTCCAATATATGTATTATGCCTTACTGAAAATTGAAAAAAGTGTGAAGCACAAGAGAGAATTGCTGACCACAATGACTCCAATGCTCAGCAACACGGATGGGCACAATGCAAAAAGTTCAAAGAGTGTGCAAATCCTTGAAATCAAAAGAAGTAATGAGCATTGCGAACTACAATCCAGAAGATAATTATAGTCCATATTGTGCTCTTTGATATACAGTTTTAACATTAATTATCATTTTTTTGTTTAATCGTTGGATTCATCTAAAGTTTAATTTTAATAGGTATATGTGTGAAAAAATGAATACAAATTAAATGACGATGTTTGAACAAACTAATGCAATAATCATCCAAACAGGCTGGGCTGTTAGTATAAGACTTGATGAAGTAAGTCCAATCTTATACTTTGGGCCCTTGGCCTTGTAACCAGCTCAGACAATAAGAGCGTGCGGCGCAATGATAAAAAGGGCTCTTCCTATATATTAGCAAGCTACATGCCAGCAGCGTGCTGTTGGACTTGAGTTGACACACGCAAATCAGAGTGGGAAGTAGAGCGACCGATTTTCCGATTTGCTAATGGATCCCGACGCCGTAGCGAAGGCATTTGTGGACTACTACTACACCACCTTCGATACCAATCGGGCCGGACTTGCTAACGTCTACCAGGAAAGTTCTGTATTGTCTTTTGAGGGTCAGAAGTATCAGGGGACTCAAAGCATCTCCGGTAAGCTCACCGGTCTACCTTTCCAGCAGTGCAAGCATCAGATCAACACCGTTGATTGTCAGCCCTCTGGTGCTGCCGGGGGAATGCTTGTCTTTGTCAGCGGCAATCTCAGCCTTCCCGGCGAACAACACGCCCTCAAGTTCAGTCAGGTATTTTTTTTACTTCTTCTACTACTACTCCATTTGATTAATTTCAGGACTGCTTTCCGATTGTTACATTGACAGGCAATGTAGTTAGGGTTAAATCGCTTGTCTGTATCAGATGCCGCTAGGGTTTAATTTTATGTGTTTGGTCCATTGATTGTATGTTAAGGCTTGCTGTATTTGCATGCATTATTCATGATTGAGTACTCGATTTTGATTTTCTATTTATTTAAAATTGTAGAAATATAACTTGTTCCTCTTGTTGCTAATGTTACTATATCTTTTTTATTTCATTTCACAAAAAATATGATTTTGACATCATATTCTTATATTTGAAATAATAATATCATTGAAATAAGAAAGAGGAGAAATGTTCGAACTTGAATCTTTTCTTTTCGAATTTAAATGATGTTGCCTTACTGTGTTTGATTATTTGTTGTGGTTTTCTGGTAGAATCTTAGATCAGTTACTTAAACAAGGGAGTAAGGCGCCTAGATTTGCATTTCGAATATCAGTGCATTGAGTGCAATCCTGATACATGAATGTAATGATTACTGCAGTAGACGTGTAGTACTTTAAGGAGTGTATGACACTAGTTTACTGTTTAACCATTTGTGGATTGCTTGAACTGGTGGTCCTTGTGGTAGGGAAATGGGACTACATGAGATTCTCAAATTTGGATAAGGCAGATGGATTTTTGTTTTTCAGTTGCTATTATTTGAAGGGACAAACTAGAGGCTATGGTCTTAAGAATCAATGGTTTAATGTAAGATTGTGACACAAAATACCCGCTAGTGTGGCCTTGATTATATCATTGTTCTAGTATGATAGCTGAATTACATGGCGAAGATAACTCTGCAGTTTCTTAAGAAGCCATTAAGAAATCCGTGTGTGTACTGTGATATCCTAGGATAGTCTATTATTTGCCCTTGATCAGTTGATTGTTTTATTCATTTACTTTGGGATAGTATGAAGACGAGTTCTCCTGGATTAAGTGTGGCAGCCTTACTCATATTTTTTTAAGTTTAGGCCATTTTGTCTTAACTTGAAAATGTTGTTTACTTGTGTACCACTAGTCGGACTGTTCTACCAAGATTCTTTATGGATATGCAAATACATTTGAATTCTACTGTCTTTGAATTCAACCTATGTACGTGTGCTTCAGTGCTCCTTCTGCCTGGTCTTTTTCTTGATGCCACTTCTTTCAAATAGTTCAAGGAAAAGTTCCTACATATAAAAAGTTATGTGTTGCTTGTTTCTATAATTACTTGATTGGACTGACTGGAGCAACTTTACAATTATTTGATAGAATTCACTTTGTGTGTGTTTTAAGTGTTCTTTCCTCCTTGTCTTTATCGATGATATCACTTCTTTCAACAATGTGAATAGAAAAACGTGTGTTCAAAAAGTAAAATGAGTGGTGTGGCTCTATTATTATTTGATTTGGCAGAAAATGCAAATTGAATACCCTTATATTGCTCTATAAATTCAATCAGATAAACTAAGCAAATTTGTAAATCTCTTGGCTGTCCACATTGTGAACACCCTTATATTGCTCACAGCCTCATCGAACAATACAATGCATTAATGAAAAGTTTAATTAGGAAGGTTGTTATACCAGACTGAAGAAGGGTCAGATACAGTCTTGTAATGGTAGAGTATCGTGCTTTGACTAATTTTGATGTTTTTCTTTTTGACTCACATCTAATGTTTGATCGTTTGGTCTTGTGTTGCCACTTTATGTTTGAAAAACAACTAGCTTTGCAGACATTATCGCTTAAGAGAAAAATGAAATAAAAAATCAACTAGCTTTTGTAGAGAACTTTCCTGTCTTTCCAAACAAAAACTGATTGTTTTCTTCTCCTCTCATTGTAGTGCAGGCTCCTATGTTCATTACAAAAATAGAGTATTATTTGATTTGGTGGTTTTGGCTCAATACTGTAAACTGGTTATGTAGACAGATTAACTTGCATTGTTGCATACATATTTAAGGAGATAAAAAGGGATATTTGTTGAATTTCACTTTCTTATTTATTCTACTCTTTATTCTCATTCCTCTTGCACCTGATCTTACTTTCCAAGCACATAGTGTGCTTTTCTGTTTGCTTGTTTCAGAACTAACAATCTGTGATGAATTTGTTGTTTCATAATTTAATATTGAAAAAGTTTATATTTTCAAGTTTTCAAAAGTTATAGTCATCTCAAATTTATAATGTCATGCTTCTATCCTTTCATGGACTGCAGATGTTTCACTTGATTCCAACACAAGGAGGAAGTTTCTACGTGCAGAATGACATATTTCGCTTGAACTATGCTTGAAGGGTTCTGCGTTAAATTATCTCCTGGTCATGTTTTCTTGATTGATTCGGCAAAGTTAGTACTATAGCAAGATATTGCTTCCATTTCAGAGTCATTGAGAGACTATTTTTTCCCGTAATGGTTTGGTGAATTGATTGATGAACTTGGCTACAGTCTGAATTTAATGGAATTGAATGAGGCCTGTCTTTGCTGCCTGATGTTATTTTCTTACAAGTTCCTCTTGCTCTCGGATTTTTCTGATCATTATTCCTCACTTTTTTTTCAAACTCTATTGGATGTTGGTCATCATGATTCATCCTTTTTTTCTCAATGCTGCTATAAGTTGATGAACAAGAGATAAGTTTGGTGGATTTTGTTAATTGAAAAAAGTTGCCTTGTGACTGTGAGTGCTTTTTGGTGTCTGAAGTAGTAGTTGATCCGCCTGCCTACATTTTCTTTGAGAAGAAGGTTGTCAAGAAATGATTTCTTCGCCAAAGCCTTGGCACTTGCAATTCGTGCTCAGGTTATGGCTAAATTTTACCATAGCTTGTGGAATTAAACTTTCCGAAGGTGAAAATTGACCTGTAGAATTTGATACTTGACACTTTGGCCTGATAGATTTGCTATGTAATGTAGGAGTCAAGCGCTACATTTATCATCCATAAGTCTATTTGTTTCTACTTTTTTTTGGGTCTGAGGATGCAAGTAATGTTGTCATTGACATCCAAGTGATCAACTCGGACTTCCATTTTTTATCACTTGCTTTTTACCTAGGCCAGGGTGATGGTTGTCGTGGCTGGGTTTGCCTCTTTCTCTTTTGATATTTGTATCTCCGTCCAAGGGACAACTACTGTTCAACTCCATTTCAATTCAAGTTATGTGAACTTTTTTGGTTGCGCGTGAAATTTAAGAAGAGAAAAAGAACATTTGATGTTTGATTATGAACAGTAGCAGAGTTCTTTTTGATGAATGAATCATATATGCATAGCACCCAACATTATCTCTAGGTATACATCAGATAATTAATCAAGCAAGCACTAGCGCCCACAGGCCACATTTGGTATATTGGTCTTGGCCCTTTCGAATTATCCAAGGAAGTCATTATTACACATGAGAATGAAATTTGAGAGAAGTATTGAAAACACTTATGAACTTGACGTAAATTATTAGTTTTATTTCTGAATTATTGACAATCTTAAAAACACTCTTCTACTTGACTAACTATATTTAGATACACGATCTGCCACATGACATAACGAGTGGTCTCAAACTCTCGTGGGAGCATGAAGCTCTTAATAAAAAGCCAAGAGGGGTGTTTGACAAAAATTTAAGGGTGTATTTCACTCGTATTGCAAAATTGGAATGTATTTAAGTTACACAGCAGGCTCCGTGAGTAGTCTTAACAAATGAGAGGTTAAAGCCTCTGGCTTGAAGTATTGAATACAAACATATTTAACTGAAAAGAATCTTCTGCAGTTTATATATATTTAAATTATTATTCTTCCTAATAAAGATGAACTTCCTCAGTAGTAACAAAATAATAATAATAGAGCACTGAAAGAAGCATGTTTATTTATATTAAATAAAACAGTCTGCCTGTATTGGCTAACTAGTAATTAATTTAATTTTAAACATATAGATGTAGATTGAAATTAACAAGTACAAGAATGAGGATCAAACCAAAGAGGAGAGCATGAACCAATATGGAAATCCAACTGGTCTTCATGTTCATGAAATCAACTGGCGTAATCTTCCCTGGCATTTGAAACAACAATCCTGGAGATAGAAATCCAAATAGTGCTGTTGCTATGATCGGACCAGCCCAGTCGTTCATTTTTTATTATTATTATCTTGAATTATATCTGTATTCAAATGAACAGAAGAAGAGAGAAAAAAAAGTACATAGATAAAAAAAAGGAAGAGCTAGCTTTAGAATAATACCAAAATGATGAGAATCGTATAAAGTAAAGGAATATATGAAAATCTATAGCACCTTCTAGTTTTTTTTATTCCAATTGATTATTGTAATAACTTGAGTAGATGAACACTAGTTTATTGTGACGGAGGTAGGATTTTTGTAAGAAACTCAAATAATAAAAAAGTGATTATTTTAAAAAAATATTTATCATATAATTTTAATTTTATATATATAATAATGTATTTTTTCATATAAAAAAATTCAAATGAACCCTCGTGCTTTCACTTGGATCCACTGCTAGTTTACGGAGTAGTTATGGTGGTGGATAAGGCAATTAAACCCGTCCCATGATGTGATGGAGGACGCCAACCCGGTCAAAGCTTATTGGCTCTCTAACAAGCTCTTGTCAAGCCCTCCAATGATGCGCCTCGGGTGGAAAAATCAAACTCAACTCGTGCAATCCGTCCAATTCGTTTAAGTTTGTGTGGGTTATTGACCCATTCATTTATGAGTTTAACCTATTTCAATCCAACTCATGAAAAGTTGGGTTGATATATAACCTAAATTGATTTTATGAGAAATATTGTTAATTTTTTTTTTTCAATCTGATATGTTATATATAACCATGATAATTTTTTTTTTTTATTAGGTACTAAAATATTTTAAAAGACCAAGTAAAATAATAAAGCTTAATAAAAATTGAATTGGGTCTTGACCTATTATGTAATCTATTACCTAATCCATTTTGACCCAAGCAAATTTGGATTGGGTTGGGTCTTGACCCATTGTTGTCTTAACCCATTATGATCTGCTCAAATTTGACCCAAACCCACCCAATTATCACCCTTATGCCTATTGACTACTATATTTTATGATATTTCTTTAGGAATCATTTAGTTTGTGGGTAAGAGATAGTAGTTCATATTTTATCTCATTACGGAGAATAATTATTTCTGAGTTAATAATTGCAAGATAAAATAATTAAATGACATGATAATTTGCTTTTCTTCAGAAAAATTCTCTCAAAGGACCAAAAGGAAAATAAAAACGAAAACGTGGACGGCAGGATTCGAACCTGCGCGGGCAGAGCCCACATGATTTCTAGTCATGCCCGATAACCACTCCGGCACGTCCACATCTGTCTGTTGAACGCTAATGTTGCTAAATAAATAAGTCTTTTCTCCATCATATATCAGAATATATATTATGCATCATTCTCTGTTATTGCATTCTCATATCCATTTTTAATTTATGGCTATTAATTAGTAAATCTAGGAGTAAATTATCAACATGACGAAATTCCATAAAATATTATATACAAGCAATGAGCATATTGCGGGAGAATTTTGAGTAGTCAATTCAAAACCTTAAGATAATTAATGAATCATAGTAGCTCATGCAATTAGGACAATGCTAGAGTTCTAGTCATTAGCCAAAACTTGTAAGTATTCATGTTAAAGAAATTCACTTACTATCTATAAATAATTAAATCAAAATCCAATAAAACTGTAATTTCAAAAATCCAAAACCCCAATCAAAATTCTGAACTCGTCTATATATATAACCGTACCATTATTAAATGAAACTTATAGTAGAACAAACATAATCAACACTAAAAAACACTAATTCATAAACATAATTAAACACTTTAACAATTACCTATGAATTATAATAGTAGTATATATATCATGACTAAAGAAACAAAACATAACAATAAAAAATACTAAATCTTAATAGGAGGGAATGAAAAATCGGACCATATGTGAAGATTAAAGGCGACAGTCAAAATTGTAAATAAACAAAAGTACAATATGGCATGAACAAGTACTGCAATCCCGCTAGTGTACATATTCCCGAATTCGCAGAATCTTGTTCTTGATGGCAACTGGAATAACAATCCTGGCGATAATAATATGAACAACCCAACAGCTATCACCGATGGTGCCCAATCTGTTCCCATTCTTTTATATATAATTGATGATTTCCATACTAACTTTATTTGTGAATAAGTGGTGTTTTTTTAAGGCAATAATATATATAGTGATTTTGCTTAGTGGAGAAGGAGGGAGGGAGGAAGAGGATCGATGCTAAACTTGAGAGTGAAATGCACGCATGGTATTAAAAAAGAGAAGAAAGTATATATGGTGTGTGATATATTACTGGGGCATTTGCTTTATGGAAGAAGTTGACAGAAAGTATTGGCTTTGTGTATAAGTTTCCAAAAAGAAAGGAAATAAAAAAACAAGCTTTTAATGTCTGATATCTGTATTGGAGTCTGACTAATTTGAGTTTAATGTCCCGCCACATCCAGTGGTGTTGGTTCACTCTCACTTGCGTCTTCATATGTTCATTGGAAGGGGGCTAGAGTGCATGTACTATTTGGAATTATATACTCCATCCTTTGTGTAAAAGGTAGTAAATTTATTTTTATAAAACAAGTTAATAAGTATGTACTCCTACTAACTAAGATAGTAATAGTAATTTTTATTTTTATTTTGAAAAGGAGTAAAATATAGTTATTCGCTAACTGCGATTGATTTAACCAACTAGTTGCGCCGAGGCACTCTAAGAAAGAGATACTTCATAGATTGTGGAATAAATTATTTATCAATGATAGAAGAATATGAACTTTCTATTTCTAATCATCATGAATTGAATTATAATCAAATCACTAAATTTCACTACGAATCCCTAACTTTATCAATTCTAATAAATTAATCAAACTTAAAATCTGATTCAGATTGGAATCCAAAAGGATGGTAGCTAGGTACATTTTCTTTTCATTCACAAAAACGAATAATTTAAATTTAAAATCCTAAAATGAAGAAGATACTATTGTAGAAATTATAGCTATATAGATATTTCTGAATAGCTTAATTACATCACATATTTCAAAAGAAAGATTCCGTACCCAATTAAATAGTGCTACATGAGACGAAGTTACTTTTACTACATATAATACGTACTCCATCAAAACTTTAGTCATTTTGAATTCTTACATTAATCCAAAGTTAAAATTACTACAAGACTTTTGTAATTAGACACATATATAGCCATATAGGTGCATATAGCAAGTCCTGTTTTACTGGTGAAGCTGCAACACAAACATCCTCGTGAGGATGTTAAAAACACTGCGCCTTCCGTTCAGAATTAACACGTTCAAGCCTAAAACGCTCCTGAACACTTGATATGTAGCTAGCTGCTTTTAGATCTACGCTTTCATTGTCAAGCGTCGCCTTGGCATAATAAGTAGTAGCAGTACTAGTACTGCTACTACTATTAGAGTACTCATGATCATGAGTACTCTGATCAGGTGGGACGTAGAAAGAAATTTTGGGCTTATGTGGAACGGTCACTTGCTCCTGGTTCAGTATGAAATCTACTGCAGCACTAGTAGTTGATGATGAGAAAGTAGTACTATTTGGATTATAAGGAACCAATTTTTGCTTAATTGGCTGATGATTCTGATTCTGATGAAGATGATGAATAGTTGAAGGACGGTCCATCACTTGATTCGCGGCGAATCCCTCATGTTGAATCGGTTTAGATGCTACAGCGGCTGCTCGGTACAAAGACTTCACTAGCTTCCCTTTGATGAGCCCTAATCGCTTGCGGCTCGATTCCATTATTGTATTATTTTGTTATAGTAAATTATACTGGCTAGCTAGATATTTGTTTGAGTTCTCTGTTTTGATTCGTAGAGAGGCAATCGAGAGGTCTTTATATAGTGGAGAAAAAAATTGAGGATTTGAATAATTTAATTGAATATGAATTGTTTAATTGCATTATTGCTGCAAGTTAATATACTCATGATCAGCTAGGTACTATTTTATTGTCCTTTAAGTTATATCCAATATCCGTCTTCGTTTAATTAATTATTTATCTGGAATCTAACTTTTTTGTATAGCATGTGTTTCTTTAAAGACTACCAATAGTAGCTAAATAAAAAAGAAAAAGAAAAGGAGATTTATAAATATCTAGAAGCATAAATGCATGATTCCTTATTTCATGTTATTAAATTAATAAAAAGGAAAAATGTACTTTGTGAGAATTGATTTTCAGGATCTTCTAGGTAAATAATTCAATAACGAAGGTTTAAAATGTTGTGTTTTGATGGGTTTAAGGGTTCAGTTGATAAAGTGGTGAGTAGAAGGGTTCAACTGACAAACGGAACCAAGTATAGGGTCTTCCAGGTCATTCCACCTTTAAAAAATATATATACATAACATACCTAGCTTTACGAAGAGACTATGAATTCACGTGCCTATATATTTACATGTAAATTCACCCATGCATATTACAAATTAATGATAAAGCTAGATTTTCATTAAAATGATTCAATATATAAAGAAATCTACTGTGCATAGTATTTAACAAAATCTTTTTAGGATTTCTTCCACTAACTTCTTATCATATTGAAGGGAGTTAATATCTCATAAGGTCATTAGAACAATTTTAAAAATTTATCTAGCAAAATCATTGAACTTTAATTTATATATCAATAAAATCACTTAACTAAGTTTACATTAAAAAAAATAACATGGCAAAATAAATCGTTTTATGTCATATAACTATTTCATCTTGCCATGTTAGATTTTTTGTACTCTAAATTTAATTGAGTAATTTGTTGATACAAAAGTTTAAATTAAATAATTTTATTGATGAGTCGTTAAAAATTTGTGCAACATTTTAACTGGACATGTTAGGGTTTTGCCCTGATTTTCTTACCTTATTTGAAGTTTATTTTTTCCTTTAAAGAAAAGTCAAAGTATTACCATAAATGTTTGAACTTTTTCTAAAAGGAAAATATAATTTTCTTCCATATTTGGTTTATTCTTTCCTTAGAGGAAATGTTTGGAGATCTATAGATTGAAGATCCCTATTCTCATAACAATAACACAATAGTATCCACAATGTAGACATTTAAAGAGTTTAGTTTATGGGGAGATTTATTCTCTCAACAGTTATAATATTTTTCTTTTAGATTAGTTTTCATATTAATAATATTATATTTTAGTATCACTTTATTTGTCATCTAATTTATCACCGTCTTGATTGCAATTGTAAGCTTCCGCATGATGCCCTAATCACCCTTTCGAACCCAACAGGACATGCTATCGATGTTTCAATAATATCACATAAGAATCAAATTCACTTTACAATTTTGTAGTTGTATGTAACCTGATAAGAGCAGTGTCTTTGTCACCATGAGTTAATTTTCAGCATCAACGTTACTGTTAAAGAAATGGATCATGAATTGGCTGGCTAATTATGCTAGCCCTTCTCCTATTATAGATTATTTTATACAGATAGTAAACGTAAATTATAAGACATGATCGACAAGGAATGAAAAGCAGAGGATGCAATCGTAGAGAGTGTAATTTTCAGGGAATATAATCACGATGCGACAATTTATGACATGACGCCCTAATCACCCTTTCGAACCCAACAGGACATGCTATCGATGTTTCAATAATATCACATAAGAATCAAATTCACTTTACAATTTTGTAGTTGTATGTAACCTGATAAGAGCAGTGTCTTTGTCACCATGAGTTAATTTTCAGCATCAACGTTACTGTTAAAGAAATGGATCATGAATTGGCTGGCTAATTATGCTAGCCCTTCTCCTATTATAGATTATTTTATACAGATAGTAAACGTAAATTATAAGACATGATCGACAAGGAATGAAAAGCAGAGGATGCAATCGTAGAGAGTGTAATTTTCAGGGAATATAATCACGATGCGACAATTTATGGTTAAAGATAGGATTGTTATCTTTTGAAAATATATATGCTGGTATTTGGTCTTTGGATAAGATATTTTAGTATTCTACACCTAGACCACGAAGTCGCACATCTCACTTATTCAACAACCAATTTGGCTAAGCTAAATTTAAGGAACTTTTAAAGCATGTATGGGTGTTTGTTAGGTGATTTGAAGGTGAGTTAAATAAAATATTTGGTAGTTAATAGGAGATAAGTAATTTATACATATCATTAATATGGTATTTAATTTACCAATGAATAAGTTAAAGAAGGAATTTATATGTGTAATCTCTCCGTCTTAATTTATGTGACACCATTTGACAATGTATGAAGTTGAAGAAATAAGAGAGGACTTTGTTATGTTTACCAATTTTTCCTTAATTGAAGTCATTTTTTAAAACTAGAAAATGGTTGCGGAAAAGGATTAACTCTAGACTTATAAAAATAACGCCTCAATTACTCCCCTCCAAAGGTCCAAATATTTTACAATTAACTCTCCTACTTAATAATCGAACAAATAGTTATAAATAGGAAAAGGAACGGTTAATTAATCAATCACAAGTAAATATATATTTATATAGCATTGTATGTTTGAGTTCTAGCGACGACATTGCGTCTCGTTAGAGACTCCTTATGATTCTGAATGTCATGCAAAACAGAGAAAATAAGAGAAAGAAGAACGTAACCAAGAGTGGTGCCAATTGCTAAGTCGTAAGGAAATATGACATTCTTTTTTGGACGATCTAAAAGGAAAAATTTGTCACATAAATTGGGAGAACAAAAGATAAAATAACTAATATAGGAATAATTAAATCCTACATAATTAATCTATGTATAAAATATTACATGAACTTCTTTATAACTAAAGATCAATCTCTATATTACTAATACTTTATAATGTTAATCAACTACCGATCAAACCCTTCAAGGGTTAACAAACAAATTTTCAAACGGTGAAGTTTATTATATAAATTTATAAACAATTATCTGTTTGAATAAGATTGTTGAAATAGAAAAGAAATGGCCAATTATGATTCAGTTTGACCAGTGTACATTACTAACATGAAAAAAAAGAAGTAATAGAATAATCGACAATGAATTAATTAATTGGTTGGATATTTGAGAAACAAAAATTCATTAATTTATTTATCTTAGTACATTATACATATCTTTAATTTAAAATCATAAAATTCAAAAGTCTTCTTTATTTTCATAAAATTTGTGCAAGTCAATCTTAATCAAACAAAATGAAACTAAGGGAGGAAAAAATTTAAATTGAAATATTAGTTGATCTAATGCTACATAATTTTTTAAAAAAAGACTATATGATAGTTAGAGCTAGCGATTGTGTTTGTGAGTGTCTATTGTCAGATTGTGTTGAGTGATGGATAATTATATGATAATAGTTAATAGTGACAATAGTGATTAAAAGTGATTATTGATCATCAGATTAGTAATGAAAATAATGAAAATTAATAAATACGGTGGATAATAGTGATGCAAAAAGAATAGGGAAAATTGTATATAATAGCAAATTATAAATTCAAATTAAATGCTATAAATATAGTTTGATTTAATTGTACCTCATAACAAACTGTTGCTATTTCACCTCTCTCCTGGTGAATCTCGCTCGCCACTCTCGTTCTCTCCCTCGCCTCTCTCATTTTTTATACAAACGCAAGTGTATAAAGTGTGTTTGTGTTTGTATAAAGTGAGAGAAAATTGTATATATACATATATTTTCGTTCCCCTCTCTCCCCTCTCC